AGATTTTGATCTTAGAAAACATGAGCAGCTCCTTTAGGTTCAGATGACCAATTCATGAACATACTGGAGGACAGGATTCATCTAGAGTGGGTACTGATGTGGTTAAGATCCTCCATGCTTTATTTTCCAAAAATATCAGGTAGCCAATTGAATGATTCAGGCAGCAAAGTGCCTTCAGTGATATATAAAAAAAAATCTCTTTTCTCTTTTGCTATTTTATTCTTACTAATTACAACTATAATTAGAATTGAAAAGGTTTTCCAAAGATCATTGAGTCCCATTGTTTGGACATTTCAGGGCCCACCAGAAATTAAAGCAAATTAATGAGAGCATTATCCAAATGCCTCCTGAACACTGACAGATGTGGGGCATCAATCACCTCGATAAGAAACCTGTTTCAGTGTTTGACCACCCTCACAGTAAAGAAACTTCCTAATATGAACTCTGAACCTCCCATGGTATATCTTTGTATCATTCCCTTGTGTTCTGAATTGTATATATTGATTTGAAAAAATAATACATGAAAAATATCTTTCAGCTCCAAATTTTAATATCAACTAAAAAAAAAAACAACACGTGGAAAGTGACTTTTTGAAGCTGAAGAAGCAGAAAAACAACTCAAAACTGAATATCAAAGACAAGCAGAAACCAGGAGAAACCAGGCCCTTTGCCCATGAGTCCCCATTATGTCCCACAGAAGACACATGTTGCTTGTGTTTTCTCACTGCCATGTTCCACAGAGCTCCAAGCTGGAGTAGATGGATATCTTATTTCCAAAGCTCTGTCTTTTCAATTTGCAGGTTGATCACAGAAAATGGTGTCCCCAGGCACCTTCATTCTCAGAAAGAAGCATGGGTGAAACTGCAGAACAGATAATTGCCTCAGATCACAGTCATCATTGATCAAGAAACTGTTTTTTATCTCTAAACTGCAACAGGCTCAAAGGAACTTGGACTGAATGGGACTTATTTCAGAACTCTTATTTTCTGTATCCAGCAAAGGCTTATCTTGGATTTTTAGTTAAAATTGCATGCTCTGAGAAATGACAGAACCTTCTTTCATTTGTTTCTGCTCTCTAACGTTTTTGAAATCCACAGTCATTGGCATAAGCAGTATACAGGCAAATTAAAATCTTTACTTTCTCTTTGGTTAAACAAGAGAAAGATCATACAACTTTTTTTTTTTTTTTTTTTTTTTAATTATTTGTTTATTGGTTACTTCTGAAATTTCAATTTGTTTTCACTTTGTAATTCTGCTAATTGCCAGTAACTGTTAGGGTAAAATACCAGGAAATATTGCCTATCTTCACTGGCAGTTTGCAGTTAATGACATCTGCTTACAGTACATAGTTCTTTTTTACAGAAATTAGGGTGTTCAGGGATTTACAGGGAATCACACATTCTCTCCCTAGAAGGACCTGCATCAAAAACAAAGTAAAAGTAACAGGACAATGTGAAACTTGTAGGAACAAACACATTCCATCAAGCTCAAGGAGAAATTAACTGAGAGCGTTTCTTGACAATTTCCATTTGACTGCAAGTGCTTTTCTATAAGGATGCAGATAGAGAACTCATCATGATGCCCTAAATTCCTTCACAAAGAAAGAGTTTTAACCATAGATGACACACACTACTAAGTATTTTTGTAAATGTAATACAACAGTTAGATTAATTATTTAAGTTTCAGTGACTTCAGCTATAATGTGACACTCACTATTGTCATGTGAGGCAGTGCCATCCCACATGCCACTGCACCTCTAAAGCCTCCCACACTGCTTGTGGCAGGATGGCAGGGACTTGGGGCAGCTCTGCCTAGCAGAACCACATGTGTTGGGAATATTTTTCTTAGGAGAGGCATGAAGGTATTCCTCAAGGTGGGATTTCAGTTATAGGCTACAGTTATTTAACTTGAGCCACCGAGGCCTCCATCACAGCTGCAGAACCTGTGAAGATACTCATGGAGCCTCTGAGGCCAAAGTTGTCAGGATCCACATCAAAACTAAAAGTGAAAATCTAAGCTTTATAGCTTCCAGGCATTCAGCTGGGCACATGACACTGAATATTTCACAGAAACCACTGGAGCTGACAGAATTTTGACAAACCATGTAGCCTATCTAGCAATAGAAAGCAAAGAGTAAGGTCAAATTTAGGTGGCCCATCTGGATAAGAAATGAGAGCCAAGGCAACCTTTACTCTTGGAACAAAGTCTCAAGGAAAGCATGATAAACTGTACTGGGGCTATGGAAGTTAACCTTTTGTCCAGGAGCCTGGACAGATGAATTTATTTATACATTTATTTGTTTAGACTTCTTAACACTCTGAGATCCTCTGACTCTGTACTAGGTAGAATGACTTGCTCCTGGATGTACCACTCAAACATAGTTCTTTACTTATGCACTTTATCTTCTTTTGCTGACATGACTCACTCAAACGAATCCTTCTTATCTTTGACCTGAAGATGCTCCCAGTGAGATGACTTCGAAGGCTATGCTGTTCATATCAGCATTTGGCACAACATGACATTATTTTTCTGATCTCTTCTGTCCATTTTGATTCTTTCAGAGCTGCCTTGCAGTTGCTACATGAAAATTTAATTGTGTATGTTTAGGGTATGTCTGCATAGCATTGTTTGGTGCTGCGTGGGAATACAGAAGCTGGCAATAAGTGGCTCTGAAACCAAAAACACTGGAACTATAGCAGAACCTTTGATCAAATTAATATACCAATGTGATAAGCAAGGTACAAGACACGATACAACGAAGATGCATATTCTGATATTGATGTCAATTATATTTTGGATATTACTCTCCAACTCCGTTGGCATGCCTTCTGCCTCAGGCAGTGCATTTTGATCAAAGCATTTTAGGTTAATTCAGGCTGGAAGGACCTCAGGAGGTCTAAATATCTGCCGCTAAGCTTGTTTCAGTTTACAATATTCAGTACCAAAGAGCCCAAAACTTGGATGCTATATTCTGGATGGAGTCTAACAAGTGCTGGGTAAAGGAAGATAATCACTTGCCTTCAGTCTATTGGCTGTGCTACTGGCAATACAGTCCAAATTACTTTGCCCAAATAAATATTAGTGAAGGAAAACAAATTTCCCATAAAATTCAAAAGGCCAAAGATTTTTAGCCTGTTTTCATTGCTGCTGACATACTGTCATTTTCAGCTCATTTTTTTTTCTGTTAAATTGTTGGTACAATTTAGAATTTACCTAGAAATAGTATTTTCTGTTCTGCCACTGTCTACACTAAATGTCATCTTTAGGTTCATGTCTGTTCTTCAAACTTTGGATTTGAGAGTTTCTTAGTGTCTTGGGATCACTGAAATCCAGTGCAGTTATTATTTGAATAAATTTGTTCGTCACTTGCACAGCCAACTGCCATGGAGGTGCTCAGCTACTCTTCAATAGTGGCTACCTACTTGCTTGGGGAGAAAGAAAGGCATACCCCGATATGATGGAGGTCAGGAGGAAAAGTGGGATCTCGAACCTGAATCTGTTGTGCTCCTTAGAGTATTTAAGTTACAGATCTTTTGGTTGCTTGGTCATTTTCTGTTCCTCTCTTTCCATCTCCCCCAACCACATATCTTATCTGTGAAATAATTTTCTGAAAAATTCATGACTAGCTTAGCTGATTAATATGTATGTATCACAATGCCATTTATGGATTTTTTTCTATCTGGTCTTCTGCAAAGAACTTCCAAAGGGCTATTATATTCGATAAAGTTAAAACTCAGAGTCCCAAGTGGCTAATTATCCATGTTTTGTTACAATATTCGTTCTAGCAATCATGGAATTTTGAAATTCAGCTGAGGTAATCCGAAAAGGAACTCTTTAAATAACTGCACTGTCATGAAATACTGCAAAGAAGTTTTCTGAGGTCATTTGCTATTATAAGATATGGCTTTCCATATCTTGTATGCTGTCTTGTGCACTTTTCTCTTCTCAATGTAGAAGACTGCAGTGTGGCCCCAATGTCATTTATTTCCTCAGAAATAAGTTTGGGCAGGAAGAACAGATTCTTCTAAACATGTTTGGGATGTGGGCAAAAGACTGAATTAGGCTGTAACATGCAAAATGATGAATGGCCTCACTTGCCTTGATTTTTCAGAAGTGGCCAACAGTCAAAGTTTCAGATGGATTTGGTGGAAGATGGGTATCTCTCTCAAAATAAAGCTTTTTCTGATCCTATTTCCAAGGGACTCTATTCAGCCAGTTAAGCTTCAGGTGCTATTTGAAACACTCAAGGGTGCCTCTGTGCCTGTAGTTGCCACTAGATATGGCTCTGCTCTGCTCCAACTGCCTGTGCTCCCTTGATGTGCCTGGTGCATCTCAAATGGCACCAGATGCCTGTATCAAAGCAATGAAGTTGAACCCCAGCGAACTTAAGTTTTCCAAATGGAAAGTGAACTATAATCCTTCAGATTTGATTCTGTATTTATCAACCCCTGTGCTCAGTGGTAACTTCTGTGCTTTTTATGGTCCAGCCAATAAAAAAAACCAATCTCCCTGTGCCTTTCTCTGACAAGTTTCCAAATATTCAAATTTCTTCTGCAGTGCCCTAACTGGACAGGTGCAGCCATTACCTCAGCTTTTATTTCAAATTCCTGAACTTCACCTTGACTAAAAATAAATACATAAATGAATAAATAAATAAATACATTTGCATGTGAATTATATCCTTGGTAGTTACCTGTTGAGTGTCTCTTTGGGATGAAAGAACAGAAAAAATCTTCTTTGTGGGTGAATTTTGCTGTACTCAGACATCCAAATGAGTGTATAAAGCAGTGCTCAGAGGCGAGAACAACCTTTGGGTTTCTCCAATACACAGCAGACAAATAGCGTCTCTGGAAACAACCTTGAGGGTCCCTTCAGCTTTAATTAGTGCAGCAATTAATTAGCAGGCGTCAGCCTTTAATTACTTTTTTTTTTTTTTTTCTTTTCTTTTTAAACTTGGGGCAAAACTGGAAAAACAAAGCTGCAAACCATTATTTACTTACTGATTGTGGACCCTGACTCGGGCCTGTTCAGGGAGCTGATGATAACAAAGCCGAACCCTTCGTTCTCCTTGCGGTGGATCACCACGTCGCTGGTTTGCAGGCTGTGGGACGTGAAGCCCTCCGGAGGAGTTGCGTTGCTGCTGGAGACAGCGTGATTGCTGTTAGCATAAGTCGCGTAGTCACTTCTTGGAGAGCTGTGGTGCGTGGACACAGAGCCTGGGCTTCTGCCATTCTCTGGGCATGGCTCTCCTAAAATATAAGTCATGCCAGTTTTACAGTCTGACTTGCTCAGTGGATCTCAATTTACAGTCATTTGCTAATGCAACATGAATACACTTGGCTGTCTGTGGCCCAGACCGCTGCGAGTATTAAGCTGGGAGCTGTAATAGATGCAGAGAGACAGGAATCTGCACGATTATGCAGAGAATTCAAGGGCAATCAGATAAAGTAAGCATGAATACTCAGTGCTAAGCTGTCTAACAGAAGGGAGAGGGAAGTAAAAGCAGTGGCTATCTGGATGGCTAAATGTTAGCAAGCACCATTCCCTTGTCTGCTGGTGGATCTGTCATCAAGAGGAAAATGTGACCGTCTAATCCAATATAAAATTATTTGTGTTTGGATTAAAATAATTTAAACAAGCAGCTAACATAGAGTAATTAGGATTAGCTGCATAATTTTCCTCTTACAAGTTGATTAGCATGCTCACAAGGCATTTATGGAACAGAGCAGTTATACAATGACAAATAATCACAGTCTTTCTGTGGGTGTTGTCACAGAAGCAGTGCTCATTTAAAGGTTTGGAAGATGCTCTTGTGTGATGAGTTGGAAAGGGCAGAAGGAATAGTGGTATCCTTTACTGTTGTTTTAAAGTAGCAAAACCAGAGAACAAGTTCAGCCCTTAAGGATTAAACACTTTTTCAGTACAAGCATTTTAGCAATTAGAAACAGTAAGGTAAAAGATAAAAAAACAAAAGGAGTAATATTCCTTGCAGATCTAAGTTGTTTACATAGATCATTACATATCGGGATTTAATGCAGAACTTTCAGATAATTGTAAGTAATATATCTTCTCAACGATGATGGGCTCTGAACATGCAGAGCTTATGCATGCACATGTGCCTCCTAGGAAGAAAACTCACAGATTAGACCTTCAGTGTGTATGTATTAATAAAATAAACATCATTCAAGGCCAGGCTGCTGTTTTCTCAGTCAAGTGTGTCCTTTAGTAGTCCTTGTGTGACTACGGAATAAAGTGATTAGAGAGAATAAGGAGGAAGAAAAACAAACAATTATTGTACTCCTGTGTTAGAATTGAAAATCTCCAAGAGTTATTGAACCAAATCTGCAACTAAATGCCATAGTCGGTGACAAGAGAGATCTCATTTTCTGGCTGTCATGTTTCAGAAAACTGAATGCCGTTTGTATCAGTATGGCTGCAACAGAAAGGAAATTATCTTACCCTGCAGAATGACCAAGAGCTGGCTTGGACATAAATAAATGCAACTGAAGGCCATTAAGCAAGCATAGGAAAACAAAGATAAAGGAGAAAAAGCTCAAACAGCTACCTGATTGTTAACTCTGCAAAAGATATTCATCAGAAAAATTACATTTTGCTTCTGCCTGTGAAAAAATGGCCTTTCAATCTGTGGTTTCATAATCAAATCGTGCTCCTGGATGGTGAGAGTCTGTTCCCAGCCTGGGAGAGGTCTGTGTGAGGCAGTGGTCTCAGGCTGGATAATACATGGACATCAGCTGTCAGCCATCACGTGAGCGCAGGGCAGCCCCAGTGCTCTCCACTCTATACAGCCACCTTGGATGCAATGTGGCTAAGATGATCATACTTCATTTTTCAGTTATGTTCACATCAGTCATTTTTAAAGTCTCCCACTAAGCTTATGTTGTAAGACACAAGATTAAAACTCTGTTCATCTACAGAAATGCTTAAATATTAACGAGTTATACACAAAGCTCCCCAGCATGGTGCTCTCAGGAACCCAGGATAACTCCAGGTGTCTCACTGGCTTTCTCCATTCTGCATGCCAGGAGACTGGACTGTCTCAGACCCTGAACTTTAACACATACCCTTTTCTACCCCTACATAAATAGCAGAATCACAGAATTGTAGGGGTTGGAAGGAACCTTAAGAGACCACCTAGCCCAACCTCCTGCTAAAGCAGGTTCCCTCCAGTAGGTCACACAGGAAGGTGTCCAGATGGGTCTTGAATATCACCAGGCAGACCTGGGTAAGGAGCTGGCTCGCAAGCATCCGGCGCATTACCTTGGTTATTGGCCATTTTCCTAGTGCTTGGGGAGCTGCAGGGGGGCGTCACGGCAGGCGGAGGGGGCCCTTTCTGGCTGCAGGCCTCTGCAGTTGGCAACAGAAGAAAGTCAGTCCCGCAGCAGCAAAATGGGGCCGCAACGAGGGGCTGCGGGATGAGGGGTGCGTTGAGGTTGGCTTTGGGGCAGGGGGGTGGAGGGGAGCAGCTCAGGCAGCGACAGCAGTCCAGGGCACAGGAGGTGGGCGACAGGACAGGCTGAAGATGTGCTCATTTCTGGTGCCTCAGCAAATTGCACTAACCTTGTCCATGTTAGAAACAGCACACTTCTTTCCTGGATAAGGAACAGTAGCAATCCACTTTGACAGATGCTGCTGCACATTTTTCCAAGTTTGTGTGTTCTTCAGTCTATTCTAAAGGTTTTATTTACTTCAGATCATTCATATTGTTTTAGCTTTACTCCCTGGAAGTGTCTGCTTGACAGGAGGAAGTGGCCCTGCTTTCTAGCAGCCATTTCCTCCCTACAGATCGACTTCAGCCAGCTGACCTTGTATTTGGGGCAAAAATCTCCAAATGGCATCAGTGAGACCAGAAATGGGCTTTTAACATGTACGAGAGTGAAATGAGTCCTTGTACTAGATAGTTAACATTCTCTGAGAATTTCTCTGTTTGCTTATACACACAATCAGCATTAACAGCTTTAATTCAATGTGAACATTTTGTCCCAAAAGCAGACAAGAGGAGACAGCACAGACCAGGACAGACAGAACAAACCCAGAGCAATCATGGCACACTGGGGCTGCCAGTGGGATACCCACTTCTGCAGGAAGCAACACTCAGCATTAGCGTTTTCATCACAGAAACAAGGGAAGCATGTTTACAACTATTTGTTCTTCAAATGACGGAAGACATTCACTCCTATTTGTCAGCACCTGCTCATGCTGATAGCAGTGAGCTGTTTTTCCCAGTCTTCTTCACTCACCTGTGGGTAGCACCTTTCTCCGCACAGTAAGATTCACCTGCCCGTTTCGGGCAGCATTATGCATAAGATCAATCACATATCGGTGGGTTTTGCCGGCCACTGGAATCCCATCCACATACACCAGTTCATCACCGGGATGGAGGCGACCGTCCCTGTCTGCTGAGCCCATTGCAATTACTGCTCCGATGAGGATCTAGGCAGCAAAGGAACAAAGCCCTGATATATATACAGAGCACACAGACATTTCCCCCATATGCACAATCCCCACAATACAGACATTTTCCCTTTCTGTTAAGATACAGTTCGTGACTCAGCAAGACCTGTGTGTTCCTGAAAGCCACGTTCCTGCACTGTAGGTGTGACAGAAGATGTTTTCTTGCTTTTGGTGAGAAGGCGAAATCCCAATCTCAGGGTTATTAACCTGTTATCTTCAAATCAAGACAATTTATCTGAGATGGTGAGTTCATATAGCCTAGATTTTGCAGAAAATCTAAACAGATTAGTTCAATTTAACCGTCCTGTTGACTCAAATTTAGTTAGTCTGCATATTTCTTACTTGAGGCTACTTACTGCTGCACTGTGTAAGCACCTGGAGTAATGTGACGTGGTTTAGTGGGCATGGTGATGGAATCATGGCTGGACTAGATGATCTTAGTGTTTTTTTCCAACCTTGATGATTCTATGATTCTGTTGTTCTACAATGCAGTTGAGGTCAGTTGTGGAAATGACCCCTTGACATAGAGTTTGCTTTGGGACTCTTTAGGGGAAAAAAAAAAAAAGTGCTATATTAAATATCACTACTCATAAGGAATAATTGCTCAGGTAGCAACTGATTAGCAAAATGAAAAAATGTCAGCTTACTCTGTGCAGATGTTGTTTTCCCAAATCAATATTAAAAAGTAATTTGTATGGGACATACAGCTAGTAAAAAATCTGTTCAGAATCTTTTAATGACTTTCTCCACTTTCTATGCACATAAATCCACATAATTTATTAGAAGAAAACATATATTTTCCCTGTGGAATAACTGGTAGAAGAGTCAAGACTGATTCTAACAGATCTTGCTCTCTTTGAAAGAATATTAAAGCATTCACAGAGCAAGTTCCAAATTTTCTTTTCTCCTGTTCAGTGCTAGAGTGAGCATAGAATGATGGATGTGACATGCTGTGTGACAATCCACTTTAAATAATAAAAGATAAAGCCGTCTCATATTGCTTTCCATGAAGAGCTGAAAAGGCTGATATTGTAGTCATACAGGTGGTCTTGTTTTTTGTGGTCTCAGCTGCAGAGTTGGAAGCACCCCAACAGAGTGTTTAAATGAAACTCCCCGTGTGGAGCCTGCAGAATTTTCCCCATTTTCTGTCCTGTCTTTGTCTCACTGTTGCTTAGAAAACGTAGCAAAGACAGAACAAGATCTGGCATTTTCCTGCTTCCTGATGTTATAAGCAATACCAGGCTGAGTTCCCAGAGATGTTCTTTCAGGTTCTCCATTCTGTTCTTCAAACACTGGAAGAATACACCTCAAAGCTTTGGAAAACACTTTGTGAAAAACACAGCTATGAAATATGCAGTTATTCCTCTTCACTGGAGAAGAAATGATCCGTGCAAAGCCAAATTTAGCTGGATCTGCACAAAGTAACCCAAAACCTTTGCATTTGTCTATCTTGTCAAAACTTTTCTTAATTATCTTGAGAAGCTTCTTTAGATTGTAGGATTGTAAGGATTATCTTCCTTCTTTTGCATTACTGGGTATTTGCAGTTTCTTTATAATTGATCCTAGGCTGCCAAAATATTGAATAATTTGTTCATCTTTAAACTTTGAAGAAGCATAAAGGCAGCTCACAGTATCTACTGCAAAATGCAAAAACTCCTTCCACTTATGGAAGTAATCAAATCAAGTAACAAATCAAGTAATTACTTCTTATTCTTTCCAATGTCTACAGTGGAGTGTCACTGTGCGACTGATTTATGCAAAAGGACACTGCTGGACAAAAGCAGCAGTGCTATTTTGAACACTGCAGGTAGCTTGTTCGCCAAGACAATGGCCACCGTATCTGTTACTGGGCATGTTTAGAAGCAAGTATGACTTCATTCTCCTTTTTCATTTTCCATGTTTGAATTTGCTTCTTATCCACTATGTGCTCTCATTTCATGGCTAAGTAGTTTCCATAATAGCTATAAATTCTACAAGCAAAACACAAATTAAACAAAACATTTATCAGGATTATATTACCAGGTATGAGATTACTTTGAATGCATAAGGAAAAGGATGATGACATTTATGGCAATAAAGACTGTGTTGTAGAGAAAAAAGGTAATTTTCACCCACTGTTTGAGATTAAGCATGCAAAATGGTGGGATTAGGAAGATTGTGACACAGCATAATCTGAAGTTTGGGTTTTATAACTCATCCATGTTAATGTCTGTTTTGGTACTGAATTTCTTTGTGACACTTACTAACTATTTGACTTTATGTTTCAGTTTCTCTCAATATAAATAGAACAGATTCATGGGCATGCAATAAACTTTACGAAATAGACATCTAAGGTGTGATAAATCTCACCTAATTTTAAATGTCTGGATTCAAGATAATCTTCTGAACTCTAACCAATGCTAAAAATAGGAGCTCCTAATGTGTGGTCTGAATTACCCTAACATTCTGCTCTGCAGACTTCTGTTGTGTCTTAGAAATGTCTCTTCCTTGGCACTGAGCACAAAATACTGCAGGTCGCTCTAAAAGTAATGCCTCCTATTTATTTCCATGGAAACAACAACAGATGCAGTGAGAGCAGTAACAGTGTTTGATAGTGCAAATTCTCACCTACAAAAAACTATTTTTCAACACAGTCACCACCATTAGCTGTTCGTTTTTGCCAGTGATGAACAAGAGCCTGCATTTTGCACTCATGAAAATCTGTACCAGCATGGATGCTCCACCGTCGCTGTTGCCACTGCTGAAATGTAGAACAAATCACACCACTGTTCTCACATCCACCATAAACATTCAGCAAGAGTCAATCAATGTCAGTGATTTTATCTGCACATAGGAATTCAATGACACATCTTTGCTTCATACACACTGCCATGCCAGATGCCGTTTTGTCAGACTGCCCTGCACTGCAATCTTTCACACAGCAACAAAATGTAAGGGAATATTGGTGGGAAGGTTCAACCTCTACTGCAATACCTCCACCTACCTCTGACATTGTGGACAACATAATAAAATAGGAGGCATTGCTTTTGGAGCAGCTCACGTACATCTTGCAGGCGTTTATGAAATGAATCCCAGCCAGGTCGTGTTGAAAAGGAGAAATTCTTACTGTAATTATGTGTGTGTTCCTGTGATTTTGAGTTTGAGCTGTTTGAATGTAATTCAAAATACTTCCCCACTGTGGGATGGCAATTCGTAGCTTCAGCAATATTATACCCTGTAATAGAGTCGTGATAAACACCTTTGGTGGCTTGATCTCATGAGGTTCAAGAGGTGACTGGAACTGCACAAGCAACAGTCATGATGTTTGAGATACCTTCACAAACTTAAGTCTTTCTTTTGGAAAGCATCTTTATGCTTACAAATATTTAAAGTGGACTATTTCGGCAGCATTTTCTCCTTCTGAGGGTGAGCAGCTAGTGTAACTAGAAGCAAACTGTTACAGGTTCTCTATAGTGTCAGTGCTACTGTTTTGAAAAAATTTATGTGGATTCTGCTTCTTTGAGAAACATAGCGTCTTATGCTGAAAAATCCACACTCTTTTTGAGGAACCAAACCACAAAGACAAAAGGCAAGGAAAGTTTCTTTTTGTTCTGTGTTACCTGACTGCACAGCGGGAGAGCTGAAACAAGCATTTCAAAGAGTCTCAGTTCTTGTATTATAGGAAATGCAAGATTTGGAGCACAGGCAGAAGCTGCTGCTCCTTTTCTGAAGGAGAAAGGAATAGGAGGCTGTGGGTGGGCTGTCTGTGGGGGAGCAGGGAAGTAGTGGAGGTGAGAAAACAGAGTTAAGAGTTCTTATATTTGGAGTACAAACGAGATGGAAACTTTTTTTTTTTAAGTGGAGCACGTCTGTCTTCTTCACTAGGGATGAATGTGGGCAGCGAAATGGGTGGACGGGCACAAAGGGAGTGAGAGCCAAGATGTTTGGCACTGCACCCCCTAACTCTAAGCTTCCTTTCTGCCTTATAGGCTCCTCAGCCTCAGGCTAGATTCTCCTCATTCCTGGGAGCTTTGAGAAATGGTTTGTGGGGAGGCATAAATCCTGTTAGAATGACACATCTGGGGGTAAATGCTTTTGTGTTTGTAAACCCTGAAATAGAGGCAGCTGCTTAGAGGCTAAGTGCAGGCTGAGAGCAATTGTTAGTTGGACAGAGAAGCATCTTAGGAGGTGGTACACAGAAGGCAGCATTTCACTCCTGCTCTTTAAAAATAGCAAGTGCTTATCTCTGCACATGCTATCCAGCTATGAGCACTTGTTTGACTTCACACAATAAAGCCAGGACAGTCCTTTGCAGAAAAGAAATTTGAAAGAGCTGCTTCCTCTGTGACAGTTCACTGCATAATGCCTATGGCTGGGGGGCAAAGGACTCCTTTCAGAATTCCCACTCTGCTGGGTTTTTGAGCTGAGACATAAATTCATGTCTCTCACAACTCATGCAAGTATTCCTAACTGTTAGAGTACTAGATATTCTAAATCAGTGCTCACTCCCTCCTTTAGGTGGAAATCATTTCATTTTATATAAACAATCATCTTCTGGATGAGGCATTTCAGCTGCACTTTTCCCCTTGAGAATGTCATAAACCTCCAAACTGCAGAACCAAACACACTCTCAGTGACTACTTAATTATCCATTTGTAACGAAAATTGAATTGAAAGAGAAATCAAGAGAGACTTCCAAAGACTGCCTGAGCACCTCTATAGCCAGGGGAACTTTCCCAAGAGGTGGGAATTGCCATCAGATGCTACTGTCCTAAGCAGGTAGAGATTTCCAAATCTTCCACAGGTGCCAATTTTCTGCAGGATAAAACAGACCATTTCCTCTACTTCCCAAGAGACTTCCTTTTTGGCCGCATTCAGTGGGCAAGCTTAAAGAATGCACACTGACTGGGCCATACAGAAAGGACAGGGAAGATGCTTAGCAGAATGTGAGGACGGTGGCTCCGTGGCCTTGTTTTTGATGCACTGGGACAAAACGCATAGCAGAGCAATGCCAGAGTGACTTCAGGCATACTTACAAGTGCTGGCAATGAAAGTGTCATTTTGATACTGAAGTCCTTCTGCATAAACACACCTTGGTTAGCTTTGAAAATCTGTTCCAAATCTCAAATAGACTCTTTGTGTTTCAATCTGCACTTTGTGAAGTATCTTCTTCAGAATACAGTGCATTTGTTTCGTTTCACAGGAGACATCAGTAAACTACCATATTTGATACTCTGATATTTTTGATAGATGTTGACAATGGAGGATTTCATGTGTTTCTTAGGACCATGTATTTGTTAGTGTTAACGCCTGAATGACAATGGTATTTCTCTGTAAGAATCCGAATGCAGAATATATAAACCTATCAATCAGTTATACATTTTCTTGGAAATGGTTCACAGTGGTAACACAGAACTCAGACTACACATAAGGTTGTGATAATAAAATGTCATCAATATAGATCCAGGATTAGTCCTCACTAATAAACTACTTACATCATTATTATATTATACCATCAAAGTTATTCTGAGGAAGTGCCAATTCTACCTTTCCTCCTTGTTTTACCAAAATACATACTCATTTCTTTTTAAAATTGTATATATTTTATAGCTGTTTTCACCTGTGATAAATCTAAGTGGGCTTTGTCTGGTGTTTTAGTTGAGGGAGTATTTACTTCCAAACAGTATAAAGCTAACGTTGTCATGCTAGATGCTTCACATGATCATATTATCTAACCTGGAACACGGACTACAGCTCCCAGGTGGGACCTTTTGTGTCTCTGGAAATAAATGGCATTATAAATAGGATATTTTAAGCTTATGTATATATATATATACTGCCTGCATTGTACATAGTTAGGCATAGTCTTGCATAATTTGTCTTTTAAAATGTTCTTCCTAAAGTTAAAACAGTCTTGAAAAGTCAGGACGGAAAGTAAAGTGTTGAGTGATGCATTGTGTCAAACCTGGTTCTAGCTTAATTTACTGAGACATCTTTCAGATGCTGACAACCTGAAAGCCCTGTCTTTATCTAGATGAACAAAAAAACATTATGCTTTAGCTGTAACACCATGCTCAAGGAGTCACAGAATCATAGAACGGCCTGGGTTGAAAAGGATCATAATGATCACCTAGTTTCAACCCCCCTGCTATGTGCAGGGTTATCAACCACCAGAACAGGATGCTCAGAGTCACACCCAGCCTGGCCTTGAATGCCTCCAGCGATGGGGCATCCACAACCTCCTTAGGCAACCTGTTCCCATCGTCATCACCCACTGTGTGAAAAACTTCCTCCTAATATCTAATCTAAACCTCCCTTGTCTCAGTTTAAAACCATTCCCTCTTGTCCTACCTCTATCAACCCATGTAAACAGTCGTACACCCTCCTGTTTATATGCCCCTTCAAGTGCTAGAAGGCCACAATGAGGTCTCCTTGGAGCCTTCTCTTCTTCAAGCTAAAAAAGCCCAGTTCTCTCAACCTTTCTTCACAGGAGAGGTGCTCCAGCCCTCTGATCATCTGGGTTCAGTTTGTATTATTACTATGCTTTTTTTTTTCCTGACTTCTACACAGAATTTAGACACAAAACAAGGAAAGTCAGGAAGAAATAACTCACAGGCTGTCCAGGCTCATCTCCTCCAAGGATCCTGAAGCCAAAACCAGACTCCATTCTCCGAAGATGAACATCCAACTCCTTGTAATCGGGACCTGGTTTAAAGGGAAATGCCAATGAGCAAATCATTTTTATTTATTTATTTATTTATTTATTTTCCCAGAGAATTTTCACCACCTTCCCTCCCCTTTGGTGTTCATTGCACATGACTAATGGCAGCCTGGTTAGAGCTGGTGGAAACAAATGGGACACAATGCACTGTACACAGACAAGGAAGAGACACTTTAAAACATAGGTGCCCTACAGAATGATTATGTTCAATAAAATACACTAAACCCAAGCTACAACACATTCACAGGTGAACAGTACTGAAAAAGTCTTTCCAAAATAGTGGTTATAAAGATGCCTTTCTTCTAAGACTGCATAATACTTTTCTGTTCAGCCACCTCTGGCATTTAATCTGTATTTTCCTTGCAGTTTTTAAAACCTAAAGAAAATAAACTGAAATGGGAGATAAAGATACATAGAAAAATTATCAGTCCAACTTACAAAAGATGAATAATCATTACAGGCCATTTTAGTTCCACACACACAGAAACCAATGTTTCTTTTAATATAATGTAGCTTTTAAGTACTCCACTTTCAGGAATTACCTCCAATAAAGAATTTTCATGAAAGCTATCACTGTAAGCCTCTAAGTCTTAAGGTTTAAACTGAAAACTAACATAATTTACTTGAATTCCACAATGCTACCCAATTAAGGTCTCAGCAGCTTTACAAATCATTAAAATTGCACTTCCATATGCCTGCATAACATGCCTGTAAACGTATGTTCTGCGCTGGAATGTGTCAGTTCAGGAATATAGAATTGTTTAAAAATCAGTTTCTTTTAAAAGTATCCTTAGCTTCATTTGAAAAAGCTAATTATTTTGGGTCTTGTTGCCCTCAAAATACAAAGAGAAATTTTAAATAAAATTTCAATAGTATAAAATGGAACTGTAATGGATTGTGAAACTGTTTGTTTTGACTATCACTTTGTCTGAATAATCAGAAATACTTCGAGCTCATCAGCAAAAGCAAGACAAGAAATGAGCATGAATGGTCTTTTCTACAAATTATACTTCAGTCTATAAATTGTGACAGCTTTTGTTGCATGTCAGCTTGTTGCCAACCCCAAAAGACAACAAGGGTTGAGTAGGTTTATTTCAGCAAACTGTTCCTAATGTCTCCAGTCATGCCGTGTTTCCTCAGGAGGGGTGGAACTACAGATGGCTGAAATACTGTGCTTCAGCCACTCTCATTTACTCATTTCCACAGAGCATCAGTGGACATCTCACAAACTGCAGGGTTGGACAGATCCCAGATCCAGTTTGGAATTAAAACTGATTTAGTTTAGTCAGATCATGCAAAGGCAGACACAGAAATACATGCAATGTCTCTGTACTATGATCATGCCATAAAAATCCTCTCTACAAAGCACCATGGTACATTGCTCCAGCAATGTATATTGGTAGGAATGAGACTGAATCAGTCTCAAATGCTTCAGCTGGTAAAATGCAAGTATTACCGCTCTAAGAAAACCAAACACGCTCTTCATATATTTAAGGAAAAACCTAAGCAGATCCTAGCTTAATATTCTGACTTTCTTTCAACTTATTTGATGTTTCTCAACACTGAATAAGAGAACACATGAAGTGTGTATGTTAATTTAATGCAAAGGTTGTTCAAAAGTTGTGAGAGGTAAAGGAATTTCAAGATGAAAACAATACTCCGTCCTTACCTGACTTGCTTATACAGCAAAGAACTTGGCTTATTATTAGGGAGATTACCTTGCACATATACACAATAGGGTCTAACAGTAGGTCTTAACAGTCAAAGGCACTGCTTCCAGCAGTTGGCTGCAAATTAAGCCTTACTTTGTTTTTGGTGCACACATAGGTGGATATGCAGAGTTGGGCAAGTATAAGAAAGTTCAGTTGTGAAAAATACGTGCTGTGGCACACAGACGAATAATTCACTTGAACACATACATCTACAACACTGATCAAAACCAATGTCAGATCAGACTCTAAAATAAGAGGCATTAATTCTTTAAAATGAGTCTATTTTTCTATTTGTCTAGAATGGTCCACGTAAGACAGGTTGGCCATGAAAAGGTATGTGGGGATATTCTTCTTTTCTGAGTTCTAACACAGTTTTGGATTAACTAACTCTAGCCATACCCTTGCTCAGAAGAACCTTTTCACCAAAGAGGTGAAAGTCTATAGGACCCATTCTCTGCCAACTCCTCTCAGGAAAGTGAGTTGCCTTTAAAAGTAAAGCTCTTTTTTGTCCCACTGAGCAATAGAAACGGAGTGGAAAGAACTATCTAGCTCATCATCTAGTCCAGCTTCCTGCTATCACAATGTTTTTTGCAAGTGAACAGCACAGAAACCTTTTCAGTGGAGACATAAACAAAGAATGCACTGTGTATCTGAGTCTCTTCATGATCTCTGTCACTGGGTCACCTCTTCCAGCATTTTTACTGATTTTACATGCTATGATTACACTTGTTCTTTGACTGAAATACCGTATTATCTTGTCTACTGACTGACTAATATACTTGATCATTTCCTCCGTTGCTGTTCTGGTTGTTTCACCTTTCATGCTTTATGACTGTTGTCATACATGACTCCGTTGGCTGCACTGATGCCTCTCCATTGGTCTGGCAACAACTACTCCACAGACACCTGAAATTACATGCCTGAATATGGATTTGACTTCCACCATTTGGTTTTGTGCTTAGTTCATTAATAAAAATTAAACAGAAGAGCTACTGCAAGGCTTTCCACTCATCTCTTCAGTTCAGAAACCATTCTTTTAGTATAATTGCTTATCCACTTTCTTGACATTCCTCTTTATATTGTGTTAAGAACTGTCTTCTCCAGGCTAACATGGAAGTGCCTCAGTTACAAGTGGCAATCAGTAAACCATCCAGCTGAAATCTAGACTGATTAAACGTGCCATTAGTTAGGTAGAAAAAATCAGTTATCAGGTTAGTCTGTTGCAAGCAACCATCGTTTTTTTGCATTATGTCTCAGTCTACCACCGTCCTGGTAGTTAATTCTCTTTAATTGAAAATATGCTGTAAAGTCTTGCTGATTTTTTTTTCTCCGTTTTTAAAAGCTACATAATTCATTCAATATGACATGTTCTTACTCCAGCAACCCATGCTTTGTAGATTTACTAAAAATCTCTACTACCATATGCTAGCTATTTCAATATTCCTAAATGTACAGTGGTCAAGTACTCCTAACTGTATAAGTGATTACATTTCCTCTGATATATCTTTAGGGCTTAGTTATCTATGATTCTGGCATTTTTTGTCATCAAAAGAGATTGTTAGATAAGCTGAATTTTGCCTTTTCTTGCAGGAGCTGATTTTCAATAGATCATACTCACAAAGAAAATTACCTATACTTAAAGCCAAATGACACTTCTGGGCCTTGCAATAGACAGCAAATCGTTGGTTAATATGACTTTGTTATGGAAAACATGCCTTGTTTTTTTTTTTTTTTTTTCTTCCTTTAGTAAGCTATATTGGAACCTCATGGTTTGTGCCAGATTGGAAGAAATGAACAGGTTTGCAGGCAGAGGAGTCAAGCTGAGTCTAAATTAGTCTTTTACACAGTTGTGTAATTCATGTAATTCATCTGAATATCCTATGTCCTATCAGATTCAATGTAAAGAGATTTTTAGCTTGAAGTCAATATTTCTGAATTTATAATACAAGTATCTTGTGCAAGAATAATCCCTGCCCTCCTTTACTTTTCTGCATGTGTGCACTAGAAAAATAACTTTAGGTTTTCCTGTTAGTAAATTTACTGCCTTTTTATAATTATAGCCTCTTGCTTATTTCTTTTCCCTTGTGTAAAAGAATGCTCTTTAAAATAATCATTTGTCCTACAAGAGACAAAACCAATTCTCTCTGCTACATTATAAAACCAACTGACTCCCCATGAATTTAAGAGTGGTATAGGAAAAGCTGCTATCTAATGATTACTGCACAATGAGGATGACAAAGAGCACTGAGAAATTGTGCTTTTTGGTTCCTGACAGAGAATTTGCTTCAAATGTAAAGGCACCAGAACAGATTACTACTGAACAATAGTGAGATCTTGTAGGTGCAGATGTGATTATCAACTCCCAGGTACATTTTCTATACTGTATTCACTTGAATTCCAACGTGCATTACACATTGATAAGTGTACTTGCAATTGTTTCTAAAATGCATGTTGAGAAAATATATTTTTGGCAATGATTAATTCATTTTCTGTATGAGTCAAGTTGCACAAATGCCAAATGATTTTTACAGTGATAAAGCCGGTATTTGAAGCTATGCTGTAAGTGTTGAGAAGAATTTTTTGTTTTAATTAAAACTCATCTACACGGCAGTTAAAGCAAAGATGAAGAGCTTGGCTGTAGTAATTCTACAGTCTTCCTGGATGTTTCCTCTTCATATTTATAGAGAGGAAAAGCTAGTAAATACACATACCATCATAAAAATAATAATAATAATTATTTTTTTTTAAAGCATTCAAACCTATTCAACTTATAAACTCTACTGGGGTATGCAAAATCAACCCCAAATCATATTTAATTTAGGAGCCCTATGCAAGCTGCGTGAGGCTAGAATAGACTTCAGAGGGATTGTCAAAACAGCCTTCTTTGTACGAGATGTTGTGTTTTAACTGTTCATTTAAGATTACATCAGGAAATGCTGTTTTTCAATCACGTCCATTGCCACTGTACAAGACCAACGTTGATTCAAACACCAGAGAAAGCTTTTTTTGAAATATTTTGCTTTTACGTTTTTATAGAATAAGATATAAGTACGGTAGCAAGGAATGTTTGGTCTGCATAACAAATCAGTTCTGTCCTTTAGCAAATGATAGATTTAATTTCATTTTTTGCACAAAGTAATGCTTAAGATAAATTTTGGACATGAGCTATGGAGAATTATTAAGTTAAAGGGTGAACACTACCATGCAAAAGCAGATGTAAAACACTAAAACACACACAAAGACTTGCTGAGGAAAAATAAATCCTTGCTCAA